AGTAGTAGTAGTAGTAGTAGTAGTAGTAGTAGTAGTAGTAGTAGTAGTAAGCGTAGTAGTAGTAGTAGTAGTAGTAGTAGTAGCAGCAGCAGCAGCAGTAGTAGTAGTAGTAGTAGTAAGCGTTGTTGCTCTTCCTGTTCCAGTTGCTGCTGCTGCTGCTGCTGCTGCTGCTGGTGTTGTTGTTGTTGTTGTTGTTGTTGTTGTTGTTGTTGGTTGTTGTTGTTGTTGCTGTTGTTGTTGTTGTTGGTTGTTGTTTGTTGTTGTTTGTTGTTTGTTGTTTGTTGTTGTTTGTTGTTGTTGTTGTTGTTGGTTGTTGTTTGTTGTTGTTTGTTGTTGTTGTTGTTGTTGTTCTTTGTCGTTGAATGACTGCGTTTTGCAACAAACAAGGTGACGCTTTTGTGCATGTCGAACTAGAGATTCGGAGAGGTCTTCGCGTGGGTTTTGGCGACCGGCGCTTCCGCTGAAAAACTCTCAGTTTGTTCCCATCTCGGCTAGGCAAGATGCCTTGAAGAGGACTGAACGACAGGCTGCAGCCTCTGAGGCGCGCACGCCTCACCCCCCCCCACGTGGCTCGATGTGGCTCGCGGTCACACACGTCGCGGTCTCATGGAGTATTTTTGAGTGGGCAAAACGGGCTTCGTCGCCAGGAACGTGCGAGGCAGCTTCAAGTGGAAGTGCAGTATTTGGAGTGCAAGCAGGAGATGCTCACGAGTGCAGAGCGTTGTTGTTTTGACTTGGAGTCCACTCGCATCCTTGTGTGTCGAAAAAATTGCTGACGTGAAACTTCAGAGCCTGTTCTTATATTACACATATAATATTATAGTAAATGTATTAATTTAATTTGTTTTTCGATGCATTTGTGTGACATTGTTTTAATCATTGATGCCTATTGAGGATTATTCATTGACAAGAACAATCAATAGATGAATATATATATATATATATTAAATATTATATATGATCTGAATCTTCGACACAGACCATCATTATTCGTCTCATAGCCGGCAGGAGCGCTCCAGACAGCTGCAGCTGCAGCTGCAGCAGATGGAGTCCAAGCAGGAGATGGACTTCCCTACAAACAATTCAAAAGTAATTAATACGTTAGAGTTAATGATTTCAACCTTGAGTGAAAGTCCTTCTGCTTTGTGAGTCTGTGATTTTCTCCCAGCAGTTTGAAGTTACACTCACTCAGGGATCAAGCAGAATCAAGGAGTGGATTCGCTCGCCTGCCGCCCACAGATGCTCACTCGTTGTGACGGCCAACAGCGGTGACCGAACCGGATCAGTCATGACTGGCTTTAGGCCCGGTGCTCACTCCTCTGACGAAATTCCTTTCCTACTCTTCTCTTTGAGTCGAACCAACTACTGAGTAGAAACTGTGAGGAGATCGCTGAAGAAGCTGAAACTGAGCTGAGGGATCAGTTCCTTGGCCCAGTCATGGAGGCGGCTGAGATGGCATAGGGATGGCTGTGCAGCCTTCCGATGTTGGTCCTTGACTCTCATTATCAACCGTTGGGGAGGATATAGGAGCTCCAGTAGGATGTCCCCTTGTGTGTGTGTGTGCAACTGCAATCGAAACCTTTGGATTTCCGCCGCGGTGGAAGCATTGAGTCGGAAGTTGCTTTGTGCGTTAATCGAAGGTATTCGCATGCCGAGAGCAAGGCTGGGATTTGCTCATGAGGCTTCTCTTGTGACTAGTGTTCAAGAAAGATGTTCACAGCTCCATGTTAGACAGAGAGCACATTGGTGTGTTGATTTGTGTTACAGTGTTGATTGTTAAGTTTGGACACATCGAATATCCTCTTAAACGGCGCTATGTCACGTCTCCTTGGCGGAGGTAAATCAGCTGCAGGATGCTGTGTCCTTCCTTCAACAACGATGCTTGGAGTCGACACGAGGTTGTGATGTCGATCAATTTGTTTCACAAGCTGAGCGAGTGATGCTGAATTGTGCTACTCTAATATAGCCCCACACCCGGGTCCAGAGTTGGTTTTTCACAGATTGACCAGCCACTAAACTGGATATGAAAGCTAATCATCGAAAGCTTTGGCCTACAAAACCACATGACTTGCCAAAAGGGGACATTGAGAATTGAGAATCATTGAAGTTTGCCCTTCAATTTTCTTCTTTGGATTGACCAAGACTTTCACTTAGGAGTGATACAGAATGCTGGGACGGATGCCAAACTTGGAGATGTGCAGGGGATGTTGCGAAAGGCCGGTGAGTTTCTTTCCAACCTCAGGCAGATGGGGTTTCGTGCACGTTGCATCATTTAGCAAATTAAGTAGTTGGTTCATGTTGGTTCTTCATTATCCAACCAAGCACCCATGCTGGATCACTATTTCTCTTCGTTTCAAGGGTGTACATTGAGGGCACAGGGTTCCATTTTGGCTGCTATGCTAGAACTCCGGAAGTGTCCTACCAGCGACTTATTCCACTCCTGGACTCCTGGACTGATTTCCGTGGTGTTGGTTTCTTGAGGAATCCCTACAGGTATGTTCTGGCCCGATCTAGATCAAGGGAAGTTCCACCGGTGGTCGAATGCGTGGGATCCGGATGTGATCACCGCCAATGTTCTCACTGCGAGAGGTCCTGCACCGCTACAAGAAGCTTTTGGCGAGCAGTGCAGATACCCATCTTTCCACCGTGACCTACGAGCTGCTCGGCAGAGACTGACTGGGCAGCGGGACCAGGTCCACCTCAAGCTGTCCAGACATTGAGACAATGAGACGCTTGAAGGAAGTTTGTGGAGACATGTTCAGGTGAAAGCTGGAGCTGGAACGATGAGAACGGACATGTGTCTAGGTTTGTTTGTCGCTTAGCGATCGCCAAATGACCTGAGAAACGTCATGTCCTCATGTCCTCATCCAACGAACTCAAGGAATTTTCTTTAGGTTAGGTCTGGTGGTTTTAGGTATACATACAATTCATGTAGATAGATTCCGTGTCTTTCCCCGGGTCTTCATTCTGGATTTTGGAATGTGTCACAGGATATCCTCACATCCCCTCTCCATAGACTCATAGACCCTTTTGAGCCAGCCGAAAAAGCCTTTCGCTCCCTTAGCGAAAAAGCTCCGATTTTTTAAGGTCCAAGCTCAGTGAGTTGGAGACCCTCATGCAGGGTGTGGAAGAAGAGCAGGACGTTTTGATGTCGCTGCAGGAGCGAGCCGAGTGAAGTCGACATGAAGTCACCTGGGCCCCCGGTCTCGGGGCCAAGAATTTGGCGGAGCAACTGCTAAGTGGGTTAGCATGGATCCTGCACTTGTTGGCTTTTTGGCGGCAGCATCATGACACTTTTTTGGCCTTTTTAAGCACTTCCATCACCGGCCATGTAGACTCTTCGTTGAGCAATCTCACGTTTTTGACGTCCTATGTCACGTGGTTTCTTGGTCGCTTCAAATGCCGATTCCAGTCCCGGATTTTGCTCCATGTGGATATTCCATGATCCCTGACATCCCCAACTACTGGCGATCGCATGCATTCGGCGCAGGAGCAGCAGCGAATGGAGTTTGTAGGGGCAGAGGCTCGGGAGAAGGCACTCCATTTGGAGGCACAAGATGCGATGGATGCGGAGACCATGCCGTTTGGAGCAGTGAGTGAGTGAGTCAGTTAGTGCAACGTGGAAGAAACCGCCACCTCGTCAGAGATCCATAGCATCTTATGGCAGTCAATGACAGTTGCTTTGGGCCTGGAGCACCAGTGATAAATTCTGGGACGAGGCAGATGTCGGCCATGTCAGCCCGTGCCAGGCAGCCCAAGAGTATAGCCAGAGTGTGGCCTTGCGCACCTTGCTATTTTCAGAAGAGACGCTGAGCTCAGATAATACTCGTACCTTCCCGTGGCCTTGTTGTTTTTTCACATGCTTGTGCAGCAGGACTTCCTCCAAGATCCGTCCAACATGTCCCTTACCGAACCCGGCAGCCGAGGGTTCGTGGCCACTGAGGAGCAGCTGTGAGGCT